TATAGTATGTGGACAAAAAAATTATATACGTGGATTTTGAACCTTTTTGCTATTCGTTTGATAAGCAGATTCAGGTACCCTCTCTCTCAATGAATTAATATTATAATATACATATACCTAAGTCAGTGATGTATTAAAAATAAAATACTTATTTTTAAAAAGTTAGACGCCATTTAAAGTTTCAAAAATTACGAAAAAAACAATTTCAATATTTGAGTTTGGTTCAAGACAGTGATTTGATAATCGGTCCTGAATATTGATAACTCGCTGTAACCTGCGACTTCGTATGCATTTTTGAGATAAAATATAGCCCATATCCCTGCGATATAAACTTAATTAAGTTACATGTAACCGTTTAATCCTGAAAAGGTAGAGAAATAGACAGTCAAACAGTCATAGAATTTTTATAAACATTAGTTGTAATGATTTCTTTTTAAAAATTGACTAATGCGTACAGAGCTAGACTACTTTAATCAACGATTTTGAGTAATGTTTATATAATTTAGTTTTCTGTAAAAGCGAGTTAAAATGGCCTTTAATCTTAGTCTTGACATCAAATTACGTTATCACCCCGTCACAAAAACACTCAAGCCTTCATGGTCCATACTCATCCCTGTTAAAGGGAGCTAGGAGCCACATGTTACCACCACCCGTCTCCACAAAGGCTCTACCCCCTCCCCTCCAACCCCCCACAGTTCTACATCTGGAAAATGTACAAGCTTTTTCACCGTACACTATTTATGACAGAGTAGTATTTCTCAATAAGTTAACATTATCCACTCGGACGAGCGATTTTAAAACTTATCCCAATAGCGTACGCCACTAGTTCGAAGAACACTTTTTGTCGCTTACAACGTTTTAATATCAACGCTATGTGGTCGTTCGTCGAGATTCGTAGCAATCAAAAATCAACTTGAAGCTAACGAAGGAAGATTCATAATCTGTTGATGTACCACGCGTCGTTGTAACGTTCTCGCCGGGATACAATGAGATGGAATTCGTGAGGGTACTTATTACGAGTCGCTCGTTCCGCGATGTCTTGGTGATAAAAACGTGCAAGAGAAAGCCTATTCTATTGTCAGGCAGTTCGAAGTTATTTCCGTTTATAACCTAAATGGCGATTATGGTCTTCTTGACATCGGATGCTTGGAACTGTGTTTTTCAGTTCGCGATTGTCGGAAAACGTTTCCGGATAAAATAATCTCACAAAACGTTTGTAAATGCTATATTATAGAGTTCAAGGATAATAATCTGCTATTTTTTAATATTATACAAACCTTACTAATATTATAAATGCGAAAGTAACTCTGTCTGTCTGTCTCGCAAACATGCCAAAACTACTGAACCGATTTAAATGAAATTTGGTACACATATAGTCTAGATCCTCAAAAAGGATATAGGCTACTATTTAATTCGAAAAATGGGTTGTAAGGGACTGAAAGTGGAGATGAAAGGTTATATGGAAATACCGACAATTTACGCGGACGAAGTCGCGGTCACATCTAGTATTAAATAAAGCAATAATCAATCTAATACAGATAGAAACTGCTAAAGGCATTCTTTGTACTACTCGATAGTATTGACTATCGAGTAGTACAAAGACCACTGAACCAAAGCAATGGTTTAGAATAACATCGACTTATATATAGGTAGACTGACTAGATTAAAACGTGAAGTAGTGCCTTCCATTACACAAAGTGATATACGAGAAGTATTGAGTTGCAAAGGTCCATGATAGGTCTTAACAAAGACTATTTGCTAGTATATTGGAAAGTTTCTTCACAAACGGTATTATATTAGGAGCAATGCACAACTCGTCCGTTCCGTTCGCTGGCTGCTCGCATAATGCTGTTTTTTCTCTCAGAACAATTCACACAGCGCCATCTAGACCCAAGTTAAGCTAGCTAAAGCTTGTGTTATGGGTACTAGATAACTGATACATATACATAGATATTTTTTTTGTAAATACATAACATATGTATGTATACATAGAAAACACCTAGACCGATACAAATAATCATACTCATGAATACAAATGTTTGTGTAGTGCGAGGAATCGAACCATAACATAACATCTACCTGCATGCTCAATTTCAGTACGATCCGTCCAGTGGCTCGTGCTGTGCGTTGATAGATCACTACGTCAGTCACCTTTGAGTTATATATATTTAGATATACTATACAGCGGGTATTCTCACTGCACAAATACAATTGCGAACGTAGTCGCACCACGAGATAGTGATAAATAAGTCGACCACACTCGGCTATAATTTACGGTCATTTTAATGTCGCTCTACCCCTTTGTAGGGGTGGGAATTAATGCTCCACTGTGTGGCGCGATTAACGGGTGACAACAATTTTGAAGGATTACCGGACTGTATTAGCGTATCAGTTGTTTTAAAGTAACAGCCTCGTGGTCTAGCGGTTTAGCATAGCGTTTTACTTCCGATGGTCGCGGGTTCGATTTCTCGCACGATGCAAACATTTGTATACTTGAGTATAATTGATTGTATCGGTCTGGGTGTTTTTTATGTACATTATGTATGTATTAAAAAAAATATATGTATTTATATTAGCCGTTGTAAGGTACTAGATCTATAACACAATCTGCTTAATTTGGGACTAAATGGCGCTGTGTTAACCAGAGTTATTTTGAGGGTACAATTTTCACGAATTTTGAATGTCATATATATTTATATTTAGTATGGAAGTATCGTCATTTTAAAAGAAGACACTTCCTTACAACCTTTTATCTCCTATTTGAACCCTTTACAACCCTTTTTTCTCATTAAAAAATCTATGTAACTTTTTTTAAAAAACTTTTAAAAGTGTTTATATTAAGTTTATTTATTTATGAACTCTTCATTGCACCAGAAAGACAAACAATTATGCAAAGAACAAACAGATAATAAGTAATAAGGTACAAAAGGCGGTCTTATCGCTTAAACAATCTCTTCCAGACAACCTTAGGGTAGAGGAGAGAAGACAGAAAGTGGTAGATGGCGCAAGAAAGGACTAGAGAAATAAAAAAAGCATAGGAATACTAAATAACAATAATTTATATATACTACTTACATATATATACAATACAATGTATATACTAATACATACATATATACACATACATATTATATATAAGTACAAAATACACAGGAGTGCTAAGCACTTACAAAGAAATTATTGTTACACAATTTCGAATATGCTAACTGGAAGAAGTTTGAGTAAACAATATTTCTATTGTATTCTATTGATTAGCATCGCTAACTCTTATGCCATAATACACCTAGTATCGAATTGCTTCTCAGTGGCACTGTGCCAAGCTGCAAGCGGCTTCTATTTTACTATTGTACTCTTTATACGCTTTTGATTAACCCTTTATAGCGTATATATATATACTGCGTGGCAAACAAATTTATTGCTTATATCACAATTAAATTTATCGCAAACATCGAACTAACTAAAATTGCGATAATATTTTTCAACACACCTGCTCGTAAAGTGGATCTAAATCACCGGTTTTCGATGTATAAAGTAGCTCAAAAAACGTTATAAACGCAAATAGTTCAGCTTAAAACACGCGTGCTTTAAAAACCGTAAATAGTGAAGTTGTATTCCACAGCACTATTTGCTGTTTTGTTTTTTAAAATTCGAACTGACTGCCGCGCGGCTAAAGCCTAGCCAGCGCGCTGATTTAAAAAAGTAAAACGGCGGGAAAGTAACAGAGTGCATCACTGTTTTATTTTTTATTATTAGTTTATTTAAAATCATGTCTGTTGCGTAACATCGTGCGATGTTGTATTTTGTTTTTGCGGCCTCGCCTTTGGCTGTGACTGAAATTCCGCCTCGTGTTTTATAACAATATTACTATATAAGTGCGCTAAGCACTTACATAGTAATATCTATGTTATCTGTGGTAATATACTATTACATAAATAAACTAGCTAACCGCGCGACTTCGTCCGCATGGAATTTTGCAACATTACTTTATGTTTCTAAAATTAAATATTATTACTAAATAAAAGTAGCCTAAGTTACTTCTTATTATATCAGTTACCTGCCAAAAAAAGTCCCGTCAAAATCGGTCCAGCTATTTCAGAGATTAGTCGGAACAAACAGACAGACAGACAAAAATTGTAAAAAATGATATTTTGGTGTTTGTACCGTGTTTATATTCATATGCATGTAGTAAAATACTGTTCTTTCAATATTACAAACAGACACTCCAATTTTATTTAAATGTATAGATAACATTGTGACCCCTTATGCAATATTATTCTCTCATACGTATTGAGAACTAAGAGGTTATGCTTCCGTACCTTGAAATTTCACTAGTTTAAACTAGAAGACTTTAAACAAACTGTTAGGCGAGAAATAGATGAGTCAAGAGTATTCACAGATTTTGTTAATTATAATTTTCCTGTAATAGGGCCATAGTGTTTCAAATTTTTTTTTATATCACAGCGATGACCCTCTTGGTAACGGCCCATTTGATGGTAAACGTAGTCTATGGACACTTGAAACACGAGAGATTAATTATCTCTGATCAACGCGACGGTTGACTGGTAGAGAATAATAATAATAATATCTCAGGACAATTCACACAGCGCCATCTAGTCCCAAGCTAAGCAGAGCTTGTGTTATGGATACTAGAGGACTGATATAAATACATGTATACATTTTTTTTTGTAAATAGATACATATTATACATAGAAAACACCCAGACCGATACAAACAATCATACTCATGAATACAAATGTTTGTACCGTGCGAGGAATCGAACCCATGACCATTGGATAGTAAAGCGGTGTGCTAAACCATTAGACTACCGAGGCTGTCGAATGCCATCAGGCGCAAGCAATAAGTCCGCCATGTATACATTTTAGTGTGCAAAAGAATAAATAAATAAATATACAGACACCTCTTGGGTTTCAAGCATCCGTATTGATAGTCCTTAAGAAATATTGCTAAATTGTCAGTTCTAAAGTAATGTATTTTTGCAGTGATGAAACTCGAGAAGTGGATGGGCGGACGCGATCAGAGTCTGGCGATGCTGACTCTGTATACCACGTCCGAGGCGCGATACATGAGCAGCGGTGGAGAGACTATCAGGTAAATAGCAAGCAATGTATTCTGTACAATTGATAATGATTGCTATGTTATCCTTTTTTTACTACACAAGTTTCTTTTTCGAACTATTCTAATGCTGTTGGTTGCAGCTGGCCTTCACAGTGTCCTTGAACGATAGTGGAGGGTGCTGATGGCATTCCAAACCCGAGGAAGGACATATGGAGTGGCCTTAGGGCAACTCCTTTTATTTTTATTTGGAGAATAGAATAGAATAGAATAGAAAATCATTTATTCAAATAAACTTACATTGAAGCACTTTTGAATAGTCATTACATTTTTTTAATCTACCGCTCATTCGAAGAAGTTGTCTCATCACAAGAAGAACGAGCAAGAAACTTGCGTGTTGCTCTTTTAAATAATTTTATTATTACTTTATATTTTTAAGTTTAAATGTGCGAATACAAACCACCATTTAGCACTAATTCAATTAAATATTCAAATAGAAAAAATATTGAATATATAACCAACTGGTTAAACAAATAATAAGAGGAAATCAGTTATAATGATTAGAGCAGACCAGTCCCTACAAGCAGCAACCGTTCACGAGTATGACGGAGAAAACCAATTCCTGCCTGACGGATTCGACTTCAGTCTGAGGGGCCGCTAAGGCTTCGAACCTCTGCTCAGGCCGTCGTAATTTCGATCGCCGTTTGAATGAGGGATCGATCGGATGGGACCACACGTGCTATCAAATTTTGATTCTACAAAATATTGTTTTTTTTTTAATAATTTATACATATTTACAGACAGTTTTAAGAACTTTATCATTAATATTGTATGTTGTTCTGCAAATTGTCTCAATAACCTCGCTGTTCATTTTCTGCTTCGGCGTCTCAGTTACGCAATAAATTATAAGTAAAATCAAACTGATATTTAATAAATTAGAAAAGTATTAAAACGTAAATATAATATTAAATTAAATTAAGAAATTAAACCTAACTTACAGTCAAATACAAAAATATAATGAGGTTTTGAATTAAAATCACTGAAAATTTTGAAAAAATCTGCATAGTCTATATATGTAAATATATATAACTCAAAAGTGACTGACATAGTGATATATTAACGCACAGCCCAAACCACTGGACGGATCGGGCTGAAATTTGACATGCAGGTAGATGTTATGACGTAGGCAACCGCTAAGAAAGTATTTTGATTAATTCTACCCCCAAGGGAATAAAATAGAGGATGAAACTTTGTCAATTTTAAACCTATCGGGCTGAAACTGCACTTTAAACATTTGCATATTTATTTGTGATGGTTAAATATAGAGAATAATTGAACGATTTGATAAATCTAGCTGTTTCTAACTGAATAGTTTGCAACGAAATATGACGTAGACATCCCTAAGCGTGAAATTGGTTACATATGGTTCCAACGCGGATAGGATTTTGATATAATTCCTTCTTATTGGTAAAAATACCTAAGTAACTTAAAGAGGATATACACATAACAGCGTTTAAAATTGAACCGAGTTACATGAAACGAGTCACTTTCATCACCTATTCTATTCTATTTTACAGTAGTAAAGCTGCAAAAGCTATACCTAATAATAATACTTCTTAATGCGAGCGAAGCCGCGGGCAAAAGCTCGTTTATTATAAAGATGTATTATTACTGTTTTATATCTTGTATATTTATTTGTAATGGTTAAATATAGAGAATAATTGAACGATTTGAATCTAGCTGTTTCTAACTGAACTTATAAGGAGCTCATTATTAAAGCGTAAATTGGTTACATATGGTTCCAACGCGGATAGCAATGAAAAACATAGCTCATATATAATCCTGTAGGTTCATCTTCTTATTCGTACTACTCTACGAGTAACTTAAAGAGGATAACACAGTCAGCGTTGAACAGCGTTTAAAATTGAACCGAGTTACAAATAAACGAGTCAGCTAATTCAACGGGTAACTTCCAACGCGGAGCTTCAGACTGGAGTGAAATTTGAAATTCAATTTATATCTCACGAATTGTCTACTTACTAAAGTGACGTCATAGTTTGCAACGAAATCTTTGTAATATCGTCGCTTTAAGTTCTACGTTAACGTCTAACTTTTAAACTTCAACTTTAGAGCGCCATGGTTTAGTGGTTTAACCCGGTTTAAATTTGAAGGTCGTGAGTTCGATTCTGCTTTCTATATTCTTAACTTTTAAACTTCAACTAGCGCCATGACTGAATGATTTACATGCCAGTATTTACTCTGATGTGAGCAGTTGTTTCAAAACACCACAACTGTCGATAACAAACAAACATGTTCATTGTCATCTATTTATGTCATTAGAACAAACAAGTTATTGTCATACGGCTTAGATTCAAAGGTCGTGAATTCGAATCTGGTCGGAATAAAAAAACTTGAGACCATTTTTTGACTGACTTTCCGGTGATGAAAACACAGTTTCTCGACGGTACAAAAAAAATGTGTAAATATTTTATTTTCTAACACACCGGTGATGAAAACACCGTTAACAATTCGAAGTAGCTATGTTGCTGCCATATACCCAACAAAATGTGGGCATGTGAGGTACTATTCTTATTCAAATTCACTTCCATTTTATGAACAGATGTTTTTTTATTAAAAAAATTGAATTTAAGTTTATAGTGCTGTTGTTATACAATTTTGTTATTAATTAACTTGTTAACTATCCTTCAAATGAATCTCCGTTCTTCGAATATTTTTCTTATATTGCTATTTTTATCTATATAAATAAAAAACAGTAGTTACTGGACAGCAAATAAGTTGGTATGTGGTAACTGTAGCCTATACTATACCACTACGTACTTTGCGTGGTCACGTGACATTTGTGGTACATTTCATTCGTTCGCATGCCCACCGGTCCTTCACTCCGCAACGAAAGTAATTTTACACATTGGGGCCGAGTCATCACCCGTGGGCACTTTAATTGAAATAAATCTAGGGGTTAAATAATGTCTACCTCAAATTATTGTATTCTAAAAACATATTTAAAAAATAATATATGTCATCATCATCATCATCATCGCAGCCCGGAAGACGTCCACTGCTGGACATAGGCCTCCCCCAAAGATCTCCAAAATCCAATATAATATATGTAATTAACAAAAAAAAAATATACCGGTCCTTATTTTTATTTATTTATTACTTTTAAAGGTACTCAATACCCTGTAATCATACTGCCTTATCTACAATATTAGTTTAGATTAAAAAATAAAATATTGAAATTTACGACCATATAAATATAAAAATAATATTTTTTTTTGTTACTGTACAGGCAAATAAACTGCATCATATCATTACATAGTATAAAACAAACTCGCTGTCGCTGTCTGTCCCTATGTATGCTTAAATCTTTAAAACTACGCAACGGATTTTAAAGCGGTTAATTTTTAATAATTAGAATGATTCTAGAGGAAGATTTATATGTATAATACATGAACATCCGTCTGAAGCCGGGGCGAGTAGCTAGTGCTGTATATACCACAACATCACCACGTGACACTTGTGAACTCAATACCCTGTAATCACTGCCTTATCTCAACAATATTAGTTTAGATTAAAAAGCAAAATATTGACATTTCCGACCATTCTCTTTGACGGAGAGAGGACACTAATTTCAGCGACGCAAATTACAGCAGGGGACTGTAATGTCACCTTATCCTATTACAGCAAAGGGCAGTACTCTGTCATCTTATTAAATTATGCCAGGGGACAGAGCGTTTATTTTAGTACGGAAGTGTCACTTAGGAATTACGTGGGTTCACTTCCTTGATTTTAGAGAGGTCGCGTACCCTTAAATATTAAGGGTTGGTTGGTTCTTCTTATAAAAAACTATTTTGTCGTTAAATTTTATGATCTACTACTTGTTCCGCGGTTTCACCTGCGTTAAATTTCAATAAAAATATAGCCTATACTCGTACTACTGTAAAGTTTCATAAAAATCCGTTCAGTAGTTTTTGCGTGAAATAGTAACAAACATCCATACATGCAAACTTTTGCGTTTATAATATTACGTAGATATGGGTCATTAGTAGGTTGAACTAAATAAATATAACAAAGTAGGATATTCCGTTTGTTAATCCCATACTCTCTCGTTTACCAGACATCAGGTTTGTCACGCCGACAAAAACGCGGTTGGGGCGCAGTTCACGCGTGGTGCGTAGCATGGTGGCACTCTGGAAGAGAAGACCTTGAAGACACTGAGCCTGAGGAAGAACCTTCGGACGCAGGGTACGCGACACCAGTGTCTGTAGAGACGCCGTTACAAAGTTCGGTGTCCAGGTAACTACATTTTTTTAGTGTCGACTGTACTGTGCGTTTCAGTCTGTGGTTTTAGTATTATCTCTAAAAAAAAAATATAACGGTTCTAATATTAATAATCATAGCTTAACTCAAATGGGGTAGTCAGATGTATTTAATTTTTTAATGGATGATAATAGAACGGTGCTCTCGTCTGCGCTAACGGTTTGTGCTGGCGGGGCAGTGGAGGATGAGCATGAAGTCAAGTTAGTACATCGTAGCAAATTCACCAGGACTTTATCACGATAGTTTCCAGTGAGAAGCACATAGAGGTCAACCTGACAAAGCACTCTGCTAGTTATGGAATCATTAGCCCACATTGCTAACAATCGCCTTCCTCCCAGCCAGATATATTATAACTCAATGTCGTGGTGAATTACACTTAGAAGGTTTAAAACTTGGTTATATTTGAATTAAACATGGCTGAGAGCAAGTCTAATAAAAATATAGCAGATCATTGTATGTACATGGAAGATATGAGAGAAAAAACTTTTATTGGGGTGCCTTATTATTAAGTATAATTTTTGCCTGTTTTTATGCTTCAATTTTGTCTTCTAATCTTAGAAAAGACTTAACTGATTTTGGATGCAGAATTTATTTTATGGCTAAAACTCCTCACAAATAGTTTGAACAATTGTTATGTCGATACTTCGATGAATAGGAACACTGACAGAGTTCAATTTAGTTATTTAAGATGTTTAAACATGCCCAATTTTTATTAGTATTATAGTTTATCTTAGATTGTGTGCTTATACAGTACATTTGTCAACAGGTGTACATCATTAAATGTTATCAGAGATCCGTACGCACCTCGTGGCGGTTCAGGTGGATCTGGAAATACTGATGGTGGTACATCACCACTCCGCAGAACCTATGAGCCACCACCAGGTAGCATGCCGGCAGCACGCGATAGTCGCTCTTTACCACCTAATACAAGAATAAATACCACTACTTCACCAGCACCGAAATCTGCTTCTGCTGATTCAGTATACACCATTGTCATTAGACTACCAGACGCAGATACAGATAGAGCAACAATAAAGATGATAACAGAGGAATCACCACCATCAAACACTAGAACTCACTATAGACCACCAACCAGAGGAGATTCAGAATTAAATCTTCATCCCGCCGGGCATCCGGCATTAACGAGAAGAGCATCACACATACAAGACGTTAGAATACCTCTGAATGCAAAAATAATCCCTAAACAATTAGCAGGAAAGGGAATAACAAAGCAGCCAAAGAAAAAGAAAACACAAGAGAAAAAACAAGAGACGAAAGCAGCAAAGACGCTCTCCGCCATACTTCTATCGTTTATTATAACATGGACGCCTTATAATATCCTTGTGCTCTTAAAACCTTTAACAGCATGCACGAAGTGCATTCCGGACGAATTGTGGTCTTTCTTCTACGCGCTTTGTTACGTGAACTCGACCATAAACCCCGTTTGTTATGCGCTCTGTAACGCGACCTTTAGACGAACTTACGTTAGAATTTTGACTTGTAAGTGGCATAACAGAAATAGGGAAGCTATGACTAGAGGTGTGTACAACTAGTTTCGATGATGTGATCCGTTTTATGAGCTTCGTATCGTTGGAAGAGTGTGCGGGGTATCCGATACCCGATATCGGTGATTGGATCATGATTTTCTTAGATTTATGAGGTACCGAAATATATATTGCCCAATTTTGGTACCAGACGCTGACGTAATTAGTTTTACCGAGTTTTGCTTTCATTTTATTCTTGTTTAAGAAGATATTAACAAATTATATTATAAAGCAATTATTTATCAAGTTGATATATTCAATATTTACATATAAATAGATAGGAGGCCGGTATGTCAGATAGAACTAGCATCTTACCATATTTACAGGATTTTTCAATTTGTTTATGAATCAAATCTTGAATCGCTCTTCTGACTAAACAAAAATAGTGAAATAGAGTTATTTTTGTACAAATATTTGACGTTACTTCTATCTGATTTACCATATAAAATATTGAAAATATAATATTAAGGTTTAATATTTTTCCCTGTTGCATACATATGTTGTTTAAGTACATAGTATATTAAAAGGTACAACTCGGTAGTTAATTACGCGGTGAAGTAAATAACGATTTAAAAAGATTTAAACTAATGCAGATATGGTAAAAAGCAACACTGCGTTAATTTCCCGTGAAGCAATCAACTGAAGCATTTTAATTTTCATTAGTGAGTTGATCATCCCGTCCATTCTAGACGTATGATTTGTAGATTTCGTAACTTTATGTGATATTTATTATCCATTGTTAAGTTCTTTGTTTCTATTCATTTACGAATCTTCTGTTATAAGAAGAAGTTTGATTAAATCAAAGAAATTAAGATGAAATTTAAATGCCCAAATATTTTAAGAGTGATTAGTGTTTAGATTGAAAGGTATAGCTTAATTTATAACGTCGTAGTGAACAATCTAGTCTTTAATCATGAGTATGTATTGTCTAATCAAAGGAAATTCTACTGGTGTTCTGGTTAAAGGTTGAGCTTCTAGGGTAATATTTACGAATTTAGAGCAGGGATATTTTTTTGACGTCTTTTTTTTAATGTCTAATTCGATTAAAACCTAGGTTTCTACCTGGCCAGAGATGTCATTCCTCGTTGCTCCAGATTTAAGGTAATTGGCCGTTTTTAACGGTATTTTAAATGTTTTTAAAAATCTCGTTTCTACTGACCTTGTGATATTAGTTTAACTATCGTTGTGTTTACATGTTGCATTTATTTCTTTGATAAATTCTATAATTTTAGCTCTATTGGATTTGTCGCCTATATTATATTACGTGTTAGAATTTGCTGCATGCCTTTTACAAACTGTAATTGTACATTTATTTGAACCAACTGTAGGTTTAATGCGTCACAATGTTTGAACGAATACTAATCTAAAAGAGAGAGTTTTGCCTTGTTTACTATGTCTTCAATCTGTGTTTTATACGTTACGTTGTTTAAGGATATAATTATAAAATTTCTAAGCAATATTCAATTTATCTTTGTGTGAATAATATATTTATTAAGTGTTGTGCGTGAAGTGATCTTTCAAACGACTGTATTTAGTGTTTCCATTAATGTATAAAGCATACGACTCTCTCGAGACTTAATTATGGTAAGCGGTTACTAACAAATCTCATATGAAACATTTATAAATCTTCAAACTTGTGATTATTTATAAACAGTAGCAGTTGCGAAATTGTTTATTTCGCAATTGCATCTTTTTGTAAATAATCTCAAAATTGAAGATTTTTATCAATATCATACGGGTTATATAAAAATCGTTACACTAAATTTCAAACGAGAATTGTTAGTAACAGTGTTACATAATTAGGATCAAGATCATAAGTGATTTAGAAATCGACGAGGTTTCCCTTTATATATTTTATCACAAACATTGCGAATGAATCATACAACGATTTCAAATTAAACATTTAAGCGAACTCCCTGTCACAGCTCTTTTAACTCACTTTTGATAGGATTTTTAATGTAAGCGAAGTGGGGGTGTTTTTTGGTATATTTGCCAGCAACTGAGTCACTTTTGTGACGGTGACAAGTTCGAAGGGGGTTGAACGAGTAACGGTAATATAATCATCAAGTCTGATATTAGATTGTTGGATTTCTTAATCCTTATTATATTGATTCAAATTTCATTGGATTCAGATTGAAATACAAATACAAGAAATTGTAGTACATTTTTACTTAAGATACAATAAATTTATCATGAAACTTGGATCGATGATGATAACGAATAAAAAATTTAAGAGCGTGATGACAGCTACACGAGAGAGTTCTCAAGTAAAATTTCTTGTACGTCGAAGTAGTGAAAAGGTATATAATATTGAATAAATTCTAAATGTGTTTGAATTATATAAAATATTATTGTATATAAAACATTTAATTCGTTATTTGCTAAGTCTATGATATTTGTATTGGAATTATATTAATAGTTTATATTAATGAATATTACTTATATACAAGTGATGAGTGTTTATATATTGTATGTGTAATATATATATACATCAAATCTATGAGTGTTGTACAACGTTCCTTTTGTTGTGAAAGGGGTTTTATTAACCTATTTATTAATATATGTACGTGTAGAGATAGAATAATATATCAGAGATATAATGTATTTAAGTCCTAGATTTGAATAATACAAAATTTTATACATTCCTTTTGTTGTGTTACGCATTTTAATTCTTATGTACATGTATATAAGTGCCAAAATATATAATAACTTCAATTCCAACAAAATATAATGTTTTTACATGTTTGTATTACTACAAAGAATAAAAATTATTTTGTGTTACATAATTTGCGTCGAAATTAGACGCTAATTGTATCCTATTGTATGAAGTTTATGAAGTTCCAAAATGCCAAATTTGAATTTTGAATGAATTTATGAAGTGCCAAATATTTATATTTTAGTATATAAATATATTAAAATGCGTAACTCTACAAACGTTACTTATACCGCAAGCATCAAAACATACTTACAAATACAATAGTCCGCAGCGAGATTCGAACTGATCAGGTTTTTAGAAATCAAATTATGTACAAATAATTGACCTACTGGCGAACTAAACTTCAATTTGCATGAATGATTTTAATCTATGTGCAGTGGTAGAGTCCCCTAAGTATAAGAACTAAGGACATATAGAAATAACCTGAGAATATACCATTTCTTTACGACTCCCGTCTCAGATAGGGTGGTCAGAGGTACTGTCGAGTCGTGGTTACTCTACACTTAATATGTCCAATTTCGATATAATAGATTAGCATTTGATTCCAACGTGGCACGAAACAAACTTATCGTCACTCGGGTTATTTTGATTTGTTATCGATGTTTCCATCAACAGAGAGTAATTCAGAAATTTGAATTGACGTGGAAAGTTTATGTTTTTGCGCAGATTCTATCCCATAGACCTAGAGTCTGGAATAGTAATTCTCTATGGATCTATTGCAACGTTCTCTATGGTTCCTTAGCTCTTTAAATAAAGAAGTTATGTATTGTTTTAGGCTAACTCCGCCTCATAACGGTTTATAGTATCTATAGTCCGTTATGTGCCGGTCCTAAGCCCGGATAAAGGAGGAAGGCCCACTGTAGAAATATGCAATAATATTTAATATTTCATATTTCTGCGGCTTAAAACAATAAATAACATCTAGGCTTTAACAGCATACTGTACCAGTTTTACCATCTAGCGGGCCGTATGCTGATTTACTGCCTTTGACCTGATATTATCTCATATCATTGACGCTAAACGTTAATGAAGAAATGATATCGGGTCATACAGGTCTGGGGCCCACCGTCGCGAATTCTCTAGGAATTAACCACGTTGGTTTCCAGGGGACCTCATGGAGATTCGGTGGAGACGTTGCTAGTAATGGGGCCTCCAGGCCCCATAACTACCAGTCTTCGCCTCTCCATGAAATCACTGTACATAAATTAGATGTTAAGTATGCTTCTTGAATGGTGGAGCATTGAAAAAAAAATGGTAGTACATTATAAACTGCTACCATTTTTTTGTACATTTGTAAATACTAATTTGGTTTCTCGACGACGCAATTCAGCTTTGAATCTATTGCGGTCAATATTATTTGTAATTATGTTTCGTTGCGTAATTCTAATTCCTAAACATATAATGCGCACAGTAAATTAGTTTTAAAATTATATTATTTGTGAATGTCCTATAAAGTTAGATTTTAAAACCTTTTAAACCTGTTCGATACTATACCGATTTTTCTATAGTTTTTAAAGTTAAACACACATTTCGGATGCCGTGATGATCGTAGAATTAACACCTTACTGTTTAACTTTAATCCAAAAACTTGATTTTGTTAAATTTGTATTTTCCTTTTTTTTATATTTAGTCTTTTATTTTCATGTTCATTAACCATTTTACATCACAGAAATGAATCAACAACATCAACCGTTTCGGCTATTCCATAATAGTTAAGTTATTTTATGCAAAATACTTTTTTTTTTACTGTATATGCGCACGCTTTTGTATTATTGTTTCGAAATTCAAATATTTCTACCATCTTTTCTATTTTAACTTGTCTATGTATATTTCTTTTCAAATTTCCTACTTCCTCACTATATTTGTTGTTGCGTTCTCTTTCTTCTTTAATATCTTTTTTAATTTCTATTTTCCAAAAGCTCAATGTCTCGTCAGACAGCCAAATTAATTTAGTCATGTAATAACGTGCATCCTTTGCTCTCGTCCCATTTTGGGCTTATCAAAGTATACAAGAGACCAAACGTTGGTTGGTGCTATGCATTCTTTGAAACTGGGAGGAGCGCATTGGCCCGGCCGCAGTTGGTCCAACATTGGAAGGCTCATGTGGTTTTCTAGAACCCTTAATCCTTTGTTGGCTCAACTTACCCCTTTAAAAGTTATATAGACACCGATTATTAGGTAAGTACGTAGGTATTTTATTATTACTATGTCATTTGGAGACTTTTTTTCCAAATTTGCATTCTATCATTTAGTTTTACAATTCATGTTTACTCGCCTGTTTATTATTTGATAA